CAGACATGCCCACATTTTTAGGTTTTTTTTCCAACAAAAAACTTAAGTCAGACATTCAGTGCATTTCTTTTGCACTATTTATATCACATCGTATAATCTTCATGCTGCTTCGCACTGAAGCAGAATTCAACATTTACTGTTAAAGAACAACAACTGTGACTTCATCCAGCCAAAACACAATTTAAACTTCACAGCTAAACATACACACTTGCACAAAGACATACTCAGCACACACAAACCTCTCTGTGGAAAAAAAACAAGATCTTTTCTTCAGAAAAAAAGAACAACAAATAGGTTCATTTAATAATTATGTTATATGCTAAGGGTGCTTTTCCCCTTACTGAGGACTGTTACGTTAGTGTGCTCACATGTTGTTTCGCACCATGCCTGTGCACGGTTTGACCTCTGATGTTCTGGCCGGTTTGATCATTGTGTAACATTCCCTGGCACACTTACACTGTTGAATGAATGGTTACACATACTGTGTCTGTGCTCACTTTAAGAGTTAGGCCACAGATCTCACATGTGATTTAGTTGGACTCCTGTACGATTGGTTTCCATGCATAAAAAAGTCTCCCATTAACCCATATAAACTTTAAAATCAACTTCATTGTGAAACTTTTTGGAAAGCAGGTGTGCTGGAAACTGAGAGGAAAACACAAACACACATCAGCAGATTGAGGGAGAAGGAGGGAGGAAGGGAGAGAGAGAGAGATGCTGAAGCAAACTGAAGCAAACCTGGGCACAGAGGGTTAAATGCAGCTGGACTGGAGAGCAAGAGACTTTAAGGACATTCTTAGAATGGTTCATTAGTTTTGTTTGGATCTGAAATGCACCCGTTTAACATTTTTTTAGGCTGTAGTTTAAACAAGTGTAATTAAAAAACTCACTAGTGTGGTCAGTCAGTTTCAGGGTATTAAATAATACTTATAATGACCCACAATCTTCCCAAAGCAAGCTCATTTTTTTGTAAACTTGTGGGACTGGGTAGAGATTTAAAGTTATTTTGACACAAAAAAACATCCAATTTAAGTCAGGACTTACTGCTATTATAGACAAACTTGAGCTGAAAAACAACCGTCATTGTGATCAACTTCATCTATTTTGTGGTTTGAGTTTGCACAAATTTGTTTCTGTTTGTAATTATTCACTATTCATTATTTTAACCCTCCTGAAGCTATAAATCCTCATGAGACACTCGTCGGTTGCGCTTGTCCAGCCAAGCCTGCAGAAGAGGAAGATTTTTGTCCATCCAGCGGATGTTATCCTCAATGGTCTCGTAGGCCTGCAGGATGCACCTCATCTCTGAGCCCGTCTCCTCTGTCAGGGAGCCGAAGAAGCTTCGTACCTGAGTCGGTGTAAAGGAGGGAGACTTTGATCGACATTCTAGATGCAGCGTCCTTAATATTTAGATCCAGGCGATATTCTTGTTATCCGAAATACGGATATGCCTCCTGATCGAAATAATGAACACCCATGTAGACATGCAGCCATACTTACCTCATCTAGCATCTCTCTAGTAGAGTACTGGTTAGTTACCCCAGTTACCAAGTATGATATAGTGCTGGAGCCGAGGTCAAACCTGTGACATCAAAGCAAACAAACACTAAAGTTCAGATTTTTTTAACCAGTGATAGAATTCCCTATTTTGTTAGGGAATGACTTCATATCAAAAACAAACAAAATTTTCTGTATACAAATAAAGTTTATACTATAGGCTATTCTACCAATTTTAATACTCTTGGCACAAGCAGTGCTCTCTCCTGGCTAAACAAAAGTATCAATATGTGCAAAACTATCATCATTTGTCATAATCTAGACTGAGGATTTAAGGCTGATGGTGTATTGTGGATGATAAAACATGTGTGTGATGGGCTGACTGACTTCTTGATCATAGTGTGCCAGTTGGCTCTGAGGAAGTCCCAGGCCAGCTGGTAGCCATGGGGGTTCTTGCTGACAGAGACGACTACGTCTGGGAGGTCCTGAGTCTTCATTATCTCACCGATGA